AAGCAAATAAAAAGTACTAATGCATCTCTGTGTATCTGGAATGTTAAAATGCTAATCATGCTCTCTCTATACGGAAAAAAATACCCATAGGAAGTTCTGATTATCTATTTCTAGATATATTCTTGTGAAATAGAATAGAAACAAATGCATTTTCAAATCACGAAGGAAAAGCCATGCCCCTCTTTCAGACATTTTTGGGCTTGATGTCTAGAAATCAAAGTAAGAAACATTTCAATAATATAGCCCATAGCCTTCCTATTATAGTGGTAGGGAACTATCCCTTGTTAAAAGACTTACACAGAGATGAGCACCTATTTAGACACCATTGTAAATGAAGACAATGCATTTATTTCATTGCTATGGTTACTAAATCAAGTATGAAGTGTAGAAATATGGTTCACAAGGAAAAAAGAATGAAGAAAAATAAATGATATACTCCTTTAGAAATGCAGGAGAAAGATTAAACAAATAGGTTACACAGTTTAAGAAACAATTAATTATTAGAACTTTTACAAGACATTTGATACAATCTCATGCTAGCCTGATTGCAGCCTTTCTCATGCCAGTGCTGTCTTACTCCCTTGGCTTTTACCTCTCTTGCCTTTTCTATTGCTGCCCGTGAAGGAGAAAAGCTCGTGGCTTTTATCTAAAATATTCGTAGGAGAAGAATGACATAGCGATGTAAACCTATATGGAGCATTAAACACTATTCTAACCTGGGAATGGCTTTGCAGAGGTGGAGCTCCTAGGGTTCGGAAAAAGAGGGGCTTCTCCAGACCTGCTGTGCTCCAGGGGAAGGATGCCAGGAGTGCTCACTGCTGCTGGGACCAGAGGGCACACGTAGTAGGGCTGGCGGCGAGCTTGAGCTCACCAGCCCCTTCCTTGCGCTAGCCCCCAGCAGGCTCCGAGAGTAGCGTCCGGTGCTCTGCCGGGCTCGCACGGATCCTCTCCTCCTCTCCTGCATCTAGTCAGGACCTGCTTGACACAAATGGGCTGAGTTTTTGCTCACGCACAACACAGGATAGCAAACGATCGTCTGAAAATGGCCGGGCGCAACACGAAGTGTTTCCCGGGGCGATTTCTAAAACGCGCCATCTCAGAGGGTCAAAGGGTCAGTAGTTTTTGCAAATGATGTACCATCACAGCACCCAGACCTCTTCATCTAGTGTACGTGCAGATGATAGGCTGAGTCCTACTGAGCAGCATTGTTTTGTGCTGTTCCACACCAACAGAGTAGATCTAGTAAGGTGCTCCAGAAGTATAAAGATCATGGGAATAGGCACCAGAAGCAGTCAACTTAATTCTTTACTGTCTGGAAATGTTATAAAGCTGCACTCTTCCATTATATATAGTCCAAACAGGTTGCTTAAAAGGTTATGTGAGCCAAAACCAAGAAAACTAATAGCTAAGATTACAAATCTTGTTCTCCCTTCTTTAGTGACACACAGTCAACAAAATAATTCCAGTCACTCACTGAAACATTGCTTGCTCCAGAGATGCCAGTCAAATTGCATTTGGTTCATATAAGCCTCATCAGAACTATACAAAATTCAGGGCTAAAAATGCTGCAGTCAAACTCACAGGCAAAGCGCATGGGAGACAATGGGATGACACTCCGAGATAGGATGTACAAAAGCCAAGATTAATCTACCTGACAGTCTGCTGCCGACTCCTCAACACATATCCAAACAAATTCAATGCAACAGCTTTAGAAACTGCCTCTATCATATTTAGGCAAAGCCAGTGATTCATCCACTTTCTGCACTTTCTCCCTGGGCATGCCTGGAAATCCTTTTGCCGCAGCCAGTTAGGAAGAGATCTCATGAATTAGGACTTCTTTACCCTTCTTTTCTGACCGGCACATACCAGTGGATTATTTACCCAAATTCAACAGAATTCTCCAGGTAGACTGCCTCCAGAAAAGAGCTTTTCTAGAAACAGAGCCAAGAAGATCCAGATGGATTTAAAGCATTTAAATTAATACTGTCCCCACACACCTCAGTGGGAGTGCACAGCTGTACTGCAGTCGTATTTTTAAAGGGAGACACGCTGGCTCTGCCCGGGCAGTTACGGTTGTGCCACTGCTTCACGACACAGCGCGGTGGCACAGCTCCAGATGCAGCACATTGGCATAGCGCGTGGCAGTCATTGCCCCGTTGGCTTTCAGAGTAACATATTCAAAATACCCCAAGTGACCAAGGAGCCTGAACTTTGTTGACTTTATTGGGACTGAGCCTATTAAGCGACCGAGGGGCTTTGGAAAATGTTACCTCCTTCGCCGAAAGGTATGCGTCTAGCTAAACCAGGGAGCCAAGAAAAAAAGAGAGGGAGGAGAAAAGGACAAAGTGAGAGTAACAATAAGGACACTTTAGTACTGCATAAAATTCCTTCTTTTTATTCTCTCCCAGAAGATGCAATTTCTGAAAGGAAATAGCAACGGAAAAAAGGGCAAGTAAGGCTCTGTGAAAATAACTTTGTTTTATCTGCTATGTCCCCCAGAGATCTCTGCTCCTAGAGATTAGTAGTTATAGTCTCCCTCTGAAAGAACAGGGAAGCATCTCCCAGTAAGCCTAACAAAAAACAAATTGAAAATCGTTCTACTGAGCTACTGTTATCTAACTTAGAATTCCATCTAAACACAGAATTTCTCTGATACTCCAAATAACTGCCTTGCAGATTTCAATAATGGGAAGTTTGGATAGCGAATCACAAAAACTAGCGGTTCTGATGGATGAACCGCAATGTACTGGGAGCTGCACTAGGTCAGGTTTCAGCGTAATCTATTACCCACTTTAAAGCCTTGGGAAGTTTAAGACGTCTTCTCAAGGCAACGCAACGTCAAGTGCTGCAATGAATCTGTAGTTCCCTTTGAACAAAAACTATGCACCCGATTTTCATCTCTGCTCAGGCTTGCCATAAACTTACTGCACTCATTGTGCAAAGCTTAAAGTGGGTATAAAAGCAGTTTAAGTAACTGGGAGATAATACAAAAAAGAATCAGAATTCAGAATTTTATTAGCATCCAAAATCCAAAGAGTCAACTTCTAAAAAAGTCATGAGACTGACGGGGAAAAGCAACACTGTAGAGAAAGGAATTGGTGCAACTTTGAAACATCCTTTAACACAAGATGACAAAGAATTGCCTGGTCCTAGGGAAAAAGTTACTAGAAAAATGAGCTATTAGAGCCTGAAAGTCATATGCTTTTCTTGCGTAAATGAGCACGAACATGTATTTCTCTTCCTGGAGGTGGCACAAAGGAAGGGCCAACAAGCTTACTGAGAATTTTGCGAAGACTCCAGTACAAAGCACTGAAAAAAAGAGACTTCCTTGGAAGGTAAACTTGATTTCCCCAAGGGCATGAGTAAGCAGTCATTTCACTCACAGGCAAATGAAAGCAATGATGAGCTTTCAGAGATGTCATTCACAAAACTGCACTTAATGGGAGAGCAGAGTGACTGAATCCAGGCAGGAAATTAACAGAAACAGAGCAGGGACGGTCAATTTGATGAGAAGACTCAAAGAGAAGAGAAAAAGGAAACAAGGGGGCTGTTCAGGATTGTTATCTCCATTGACTGGATCCCATTAATACAAAGAGTCATTTAAAAGAGCAGTGAAAGCATTCTGTGATTCTGTGAAATGAGAGGGGAATCTTAAAAAAAAAAAAAACTTTTTCAAAAGCACACCCTGTTTGAGTTTCAGAATTTCTCTTTCCAGTATGCCAAAATAACCAGCAGGACAGACGAGCTTATGCTATATGGATTATCTGGTGATAGGGATATTGTCATGGAAACATGATCTTTGCGCAGAAGTGATTACTTCTGTTCTCATTCCCTTCATATATTAATAATACATTTATTTTTGGATGTTAAATCAGTGGCAGACTATGGACCTGAATCTTGTCCTATCTCCTGTGCAGATTTCATCCCGGTTTCCTGCTGTGGTGTTTCTCATCAACGGACTGCAGTAGTGACCCACAAGCACCAGCAGAACCCAGAGGGCACAACTGGCCTCCAGTCCCTACGCCTGGACTGTGCCCATTTTAGTAAGGAGTCATAATACACCACCTCTTGCAAGGGGGGGCTTCTGCAACTTTTAGCAGGCCCAGACTATGACAAGAGTAGGCCACTACAAGGCAAACCAATGACGAGCCACAGGAAGGGATGTACTCTGAGAATAGAAGGCCTGCCAGGGTAATTTTGGTGGTGTGGAAAGAAGTCTGCTCCCTACTGCCCAGAGATCAAGCCAGTACTATTCCCGAAGCATGAGTTTCCCCACCACGTGTCATGCTGGTGTGTGTCGAAGGTGAGCCAGAGGACACACCAAAGAGAGAGCATTGCAGATGATCAGAGTATAAGCTGTACCCCAAGACAACTAATAAAACAGAATAGGATTCTCCTCCAGACACCTCAACTTAAGACATGTAGGTGTCTTAAGTTCTCCTTAAAGACAACAGAGATCTACCACAGGATATAGTCCAGTGTCATCTGAGATGCCATAAGCAGTCTTGTTCAACCCATGGCTCAGGTCTCCTGTGGGAACTCAGTCACATCTGCCAGCTTCATGTGGACACCACAGACACGTCAGAGCATCTTAAAAGCCATTAGGTATATATGAATGGGCAAATGAATAGAGCCTCGAGGAGCCCAGAGAGCAATTTAGCTCATGCTAAAGCAAACGTCTGTCTTTGGCCAGCTGAGCTGCTCTAAAGGCTCTGGCTGTATAAGAGAGTGCAGGCATCTAGCACCCAGTCAGTACTCAGGGGAGTGTCTGCTGCCCTGGGCAAAACCCTGCGAGGTACCACTGAAACAATTTAATGGTATGAACAATTGAGTTCTTCTAGCCAGCCCTCTACCCTGGCACTGTCTACTTTACCACTCTAGATATATGGCTCGTTCAGCCAGCTCACAAAAATTTCATTTCCCTGTTGGAGATTTTACCCCTACTGACTTTAGGAATAGAAAAACCCATTTAAGTTAGGAACAAGCAGATGTTTACAGTGACACAGATGGCCTATTCAAAACAAGATACTTTTTATAAAAATACTGCAGTAAGGTATTTTAGGGGTTTGAGGCTGGAAAGAAAAGCAAAGTTTATGCACACGTTGCTTTTGACAGTGGAAGGTACCACACCAGTCCCAAAGGCTATGTCTATACTAGTAACCTAAAGAGAGCCAGGACATGGTCTCAGGCACTGGCACGCAGTCGGGTGGCCCATGGCGCTTTTCACTCTTCGAGGTCATGCCCCAGGGGATGCAATGGGCCAGGCACTGACCTCAGAAGGCAACACAGACAAGGCCACCCTGGTTTGTTTTCCTTTGAATAACCATGTCAATGTGATCCATGTTATCCACTTAGCCTCAGGGTCAGGGAAAGGGCCTGAACCACTTCTTTTACCAGTATAGAGGTAGCCAAGGTACCCACAATTCAGTCCTTCCCTTTCTCCTAGGCTTGAGGGTGCTTATTGCTATCTAATAACAGCTCTTCTCTTGTTTCAAGTTCAGCTTTGCTGCTTTTGTATGGTCTGCTTCCCATGGATTGCAGTTGCTACATCCATGTATGACCACTGTCATCATGTCCCACAGTAACAATGTTAGTATATCAGTTATGGTCAACCCAGTCACATGTACGTGGTCTGTGCCTATCTCCTATTCATCTTTTCTGGTGCAGAAATTAATCCCTTCCATCTTTGCAGGTCTCAGTAGAAACATACATAAGGGAAACCGTCATACATATTTTCCAGAAAAATAATAGCGCTGCCATGTTTCCTACAGCCCCCAATCTATGTCACTCTCAAGCTTATACACAGCCTGAAAAATGATAATGAAAACATGATACAGCACAGATGGGAGGAGAAGGAGTCTTATGAAGATGAAATCACCAGGTAATTCAGGTTAGCAATTGGAGCCTGGTGATACCAAATGGCTCCACGGCTTCTGATCACCTCTGAATACTTGCAGGCCTAAAACCAGCTCTTCTGCACTCTGCAGGACCACCCAGCTACCATTGCCTGAGGAATCCTTGACAGACGTGA